TTTATGTTCTAAAGAACTGTGATGAAGTGCAACCACACATTGAGTAAGTCACTAAAGTTTAAGATTCTAGTAATAAATTTAGTATAGTTAGTCAACGTTAATCATATTTATGATATTTTAATGTAGGGACTACAATGAATTCGTGAGAGAACCCACAAATCACTATGATGATAAAGATTGGGATAAGAACTTTATCGAGTGGTTCCAATCTCTAGTACGTACATATCTTGCCTTATTTTTTAAATATCTTGATTGGTTCATTTTATTACATGTTCCATGACTTGATCATATTTTGGTTTTGTTTAGGTTTATCAGAGTTATCGAGAAGATGATGACTTACTTTCATTATCTCGTGGTCCAAGTAAGATTGTTAAATGTTTTACTGGATTTGTCATAAATGGACATCGATTTCATACAGAAATTCGAGATAATTGTTTGTCAACTCAAAATTACGGGGTTGCAATTGTTGGTGATGCTGGTGATGGTGGAGATATAGATTATTATGGTGCTTTGGTTGAAGTTGTCGAATTAGAGTATCTTGGTGGAAGAAAGGTTGTTCTATTTCGTTGTAAGTGGTGGGATGTGCATGGCAAAGGAAAAGAGACAGCTTTGAAAGAAGACAAATATGGATTTATTAGTATTAATTGCCGACACTTCCTAAAAACGAATGACCACTTTATACTTGCTGGCCAAGCATCACAAGTTTTTTATGTTGAGGATATTGCCAATGAAGGTTGGCATGTAGTTCTTAAAGCACAACCCCGTGATTCCTATGATATGCCAGCAGATACAGATGATTGTAGGATAACAGACGATGGAGTTGAAGCTTATTTGCAAGATGAATCATTTGATGCTCAGGCTATTGCATCAACATCATTGGAAGATGATTATATCAATTTGAGAAGGAGTGATATTGATCCAATTATTGTAAATTCGGTCTCAACTTCAAAAAAGAGGAAAAAGACTCAAGCAGAGAATTAGAACGCTTTAATTAAAGAATAGAACACAAATGATATTGTGTTATTGAGATAAAATTTAAGTTGTATCTTCACTATAACTATTCCTTTTTTAGACATATGATGTTCTTTTCTTCATATTTTGGATGTGGCTTTGACATTGCAGCAAGTGCTTCTACATTAGTGTATTATGTATTTATTGTTATGCTTGTCCTTCGTGATATCTTCTTCTTTTATTCATTTCTCTTTTGATATTTGTTTCATACATAGTGTGTAATACTTAAATTCCTTTTCATAGCAGGAAAATGAAAACTCAAGAAGTCACTTCCAAAAGCAAAAAGGCACAATTTCTAGCACCCAGGTCATTAATTAGGAAGCGACTTCAAGCAATTGCAGAAAATTCATTAAGAAGGGAACAACTCCGTACTTGTCATGACAAGAACTTGAATATTCAAAATCCAATACAAGATCAAAATATGGGTACAAATTTTAGTGCTGATTCAGAAAACTTTGAAGAGGAGAATTTTGCACAAAATCGCAGGAGAAGTGCAAATACTAACAATGAAGAGAATGATGATTCTGCAGGTTGATGAGACTTAAAATTTATTATTATTTCTTTTTATCTTTCAATTTATTTTTTATGATTGGATTAATAATTGCTCAATTTTTACAGAATCAGATAATCATCGAGTGCAAAGTGATGATGCAATACTAAATGAATCTCGACAAGAAGGTATATTCTTTATTAATTACAAGAAGAAATATTTTTATCAATTTCTTTAACTATATCTTGTTTCTAACATATGATATGATGTATGCAGCTGATAATTCTCAAAGGAAGAAAAATCCACCTCGTGGTAGTAATAAGTGTCTAAAGTTGAATAATTTGTCACATGGGGAGAAAAAAATCATTACTTTTTATCAGAATAGAGCTATTGAACCAGAATTTTCACGATATCTTGGAATTATTATTCGAGATAGAAATATTTGCCCAGTAGCTGTTGAGAATTGGGCCAAAATACCACAGCAAAATAAAGATCATATGTGGGCATCCATTAAGGTACATTGAAAATTAATTTTTTACAATTGGTTTTTAATTCTTATAAATTAAATTTTGATTCAAATTTGATATAGGATAAATTTGATGCTGATGACATGGAGCAAAAGAGAGAGTCAGTAATGAGACACTTGCGCGATTTGTGGAATAAGTGGCGTGGTGACATGCACAGGAAATATGTGAAAGAAAATTCATTGCAAGTTACCCTATTCATGGCTCGTTTACCCTTGAATACCCAAGGGCAATATCTGCCAGAATTTTAACTATAAAAGAATTTACCCCTGAGGGCCTATCTGCAACAATACTGCAGGGGGGGTCTATGTGCAATTAACCCTTCTATTTATCTTGGTTCAATTCTCCTTACTATATCCGCGACATATCTAATTTTTAGACTATTTGTTTTTCTTCTTTGCAGTTGAGGTTGATCGGAGTATGAGGCTGAGCATGCGATGGAGATCCAGCTCCTGCTTCCTGTGGAGGACCGTGAGGCCTGCCCCTTGGCCAATCCTCAGCAGCAAAACCTGAAGAATTTTTGCTGTGCTAGATTTGAGGCCGGCCTCAGTTTTGTATATGCTACGAGAAAATGGCTACATAGGCATAGGTATATGCATCTGTTTATTACGGAGGAGCCACCAGCAAGAAAAGTATTGCCCAACTTGAGCTTGTATAGTTCTTATTTGAGAGGTAGAGACCACTATATAGTATTCATGTTATCCTTGACTTGTGTTGTATATATATATAT